AAAAAAAAACAAAAAATCCACTTTATGGGTAATTGTGTTTTGATTTCCTTTTGCAAATATTTTATTGTTTTAAACATACAATAGAAAAATGGGAATACTCTACCCAAAGGACTGAACTTTTTTTTCCTAACCCAATGTAGGGTTAATTTCTACAAAACTAGATTTTTGTGTGTGTATGCACAACAGTGAAGACAGGTACTCCATAATATAGAGAAATAGCTTTAGAAAAAGAAAATCATAATCATTGTTGGAAAGTAAAGCTCTAAAAATTATCAACCACCCTCCTAATTCATGCCAATAGAGGGAAGTAGAAGTAAGGATTAAAAACGAGTTCAGTCATTCCAATATGAATTTTCTCCTGAGATTTAATATTTTGCTCCAAACTTTCACATACGCCATTTAAAGACGGTGAGCCTCCCTGGTGGTACAGGAGTTTAACTCAGCACTATGAAGCTCTCTGCAGCCACTGCAGCATGAGTTTGATCCCCGGCCAAGGAGCTGACCCACCTGGCACAGCAGACCTCTCCTGACCCACCTGCTGCTCCCCTCAGCAGTGTAATTCGTTGATCTGCCTGTTCAGCTCCCCACTGTCTCTGGTGAGTCATTTCACCCCCTATAACTCTGGCCTACACCCCAGTTCTTGTACACATAAATAAAAATAAATCTTTAAAAAATAATGGAAATGCATGTATTTGGGGTGCCTGCAATAGATCTCACTGTAGAAGTCTGTACTGCACAGAGCTGATGCCCAGCAGGTTACTGCCCTCCCAGCTGCGCACACAACGCTCACTTATCTGTAGACACAACACATCCTTGGCTTCACAAAAGTAAGCTTCAAAATGAAACTGTTTTCCATTTCAGTATATCAGAAAACAGCCTACAAGTACAAAAGAGGCAGCAGAAGCAAGCAGGACCCTGTGTGGGACCTCACTTGTGGCGGCTTCCAGACCATTCTATTTTAGTAGGATCCCATCACAGTGTTGGGCAGTGAAACTCTCAAAGTTGTCAGAAAGGAATCAACAATATAAATAAAGTGAGCGGGTAATCCATAAGTGACTCCCATTATCTTGTAGTATTAGGAGGATTTGTCATTTGCAACGTGACTGATTCATCTGAGTCCTCTCCAGGCTTTCCCTGGTTGTTTTCTACTCCTCCCTCAGCATTTTCTCATCAGAAAGTTGTTTTTATCCTTAACAAATACATGCTACCACTGCTCCTCCTTCCCCTTTAAAGGTCTTTGTTACAATGCTCAAAGAAATCTCTCCTCCAACCTCATTAAAAGTCACATTCATTCAGTGGCTCTTTCTCT